TGTCGGTTCTTCTCTGTTGGAGGTTTCACTCCTCTCTTTGTTAGGCATACCTCCCCTGCCTCTTCTTACTATATCCAGTCGCTGTTTTGATGCTACTCGTCGTCTTGTTTCCAACAAGTTTGAGCTCGCTCGATTCAGAGCGGCAGTACCGCGTATCGCCACAAGCGGTAGTACCGCTGTCTCACAGCGGTAGTACCGCCCATGGCCATAAGCGGTAGTACGGCTTTAGTTCCGCGCTGGTACCGCCTCGACTCGAGACGTGGTTTTCTCGTGTCGGGTTCAGCGGCAGTAGGAGCGGTTGTGCCGCTCGTGTGTGGTAGTACCGCTGGGCCAAGCGGCAGTACTGCCGCTGCCAACGGTAGTACCGCTGGCCCCAGTGGTAGTGCCGCTCATACGGCTCTGCCTCGCTCTCTATTTTGCTCCGCTCTCTGTGTTCTGCCGCCCGAGCGGTAGTACCGCTCCCCTGAGCGGTAGTACCGCTCGTGCACGGACTGAGCACATAACGGTTGGATTCGGGAGCTCCTATAAAAGGGGGTCTTCTTCCCCATTGAGCCTTATCCTTTGAGCTCGTGTTCTTCCCCCATTGTTGACCTTCTTCGAGCTTGCTAACTCTCAATCCCTCCATGGATTCTTGCTAGTTTTTGAGGGAAAAGAGAGAGGAGATCTAGATCCACATTTCCACCAATCACTTTCTCCTCTATGTGAGGGGAACCCCTTGGATCTAGATCTTGGAGTTCTTGGTGTTCTCCTTCTTGTTCTTCCTCTCATTTTCCTCCCTAACATTAGTTGCTTCGGTGGGATTTGAGAGATAAGGACTTGGGCACTCCGTGTGCCCTTGCTATTGCATTTGGTGCATCGGTTTGAGTTCTCCACGATGATACGTGGAAGTTACAAGTTGCGAAGCTTATTACTCTTGGGTGCTTGGTACCCTTGAGCTTGTTCCTCTTGGGTGCTTGGGCGCCCTAGACGGTTGGTGGTGTTCGGAGCTCAATCATTATGGTGTAAAGCTCCGGGCAAGCGTCGGGGTCTCCAATTAGGTTGTGGAGATCGCCCCGAGCAATTTGACGGGTACCGGTGACCGTCCCCAAGGGTTGCCAAAGTGTACGGGTTCGGTGATCGCCCTCAAGGGTCCCTTAGTGGAATCACGGCATCTTGCATTGTGCGAGGGCGTGAGGAGATTACAGTGGCCCTAGTGGCTTCTTGGGGAGTATTGTGCCTCCACATCGCTCCAAACGGAGATTAGCATCCGCAAGAGTGTGAACTTCGGGATACATCATCGTCTCCGCGTGCCTCGATTATCTCTTACCCGAGCCCTTACTTATGCATTTTAATTTGTGATAGCCATATTGTTTCTTGTCATATATCTTGCTATCACTTTGTTGTTTATCTTGTAGCATAAGTTGTTGGTGCACATAGGTGAGCCTAGTTGTTGTAGGTTTTGTGCTTGACAAATTAACCGCTAGGTTTATTCCGCATTTGTTCAAGCCTAAACCGTAATTATTTTAAAGCGCCTATTCACCCCCCCCCCCTCTAGGCGACATCCTCGTTCTTTCAAACTTCATACAAACCCTTCAAACCTCTGTTGGCGATATTGCCATCTCGAAGGAGGACAAGGAGGCAGAGCTTTTCAACCATTTTCAGACCCACCTTGGCACTAGTTGTCTAGATAGGTGTGCGTCAACTGGGAAAGCCTGGGATACGAGCCTTTCAACCTTGCCATCCTCGACACACCTTTTGATGAGTTGGAGATTAAAAAATCCATTTTTCTCTTCATTTGGTCAAAGCTCCTGGGCCTGATGGCTTCATCGAAGCCTTTTTCAAGTACTATTGGGAAACCATCAAAGATGACCTTGTTGTCACCATCCTCCACTTGGCTAGCCTAATGAGATGTCAATATCATGAATTCGGTGAATATTGTCCTCCTTCGTAAGATCGTAGACGCCATAAGTTGATTCACAACATCTCCAAGATCTTCTTCAAGTTGTTTGCCAATCGGCTCGTGCCTCTATCGCGCAACCTTATATCCATAAGTCAAAGTGCTTTGTGACATCATGTCTTAATATGAATGATATAGACTACTCATATCAAAAGAAATTCCTTCTTTTGTGGAGTCCATCCACAAGGAACCTAAAAATTAAGCGTACTTGGTTGGGGCAATTTGAGGATGGGTCAGCGACCGGGAAGTTGATCCCGGGTGTGCACAAGTGAAAGACAGAGTGCACATGAAAGATTAGTGTTGGTTTGTGGGGTTAGTCTAGATCCCAGACGTAACGACAAGGAACCAGTGATTGTGGTTGGGGCGTTATAGTGCTTTCATCCATATTCCCAGTCCGACATAACAATATAGTATATCGATCACATGATCATCATTATAGTTGTACGCGTTCCAAGCGAAGGACCATCTGGTCGCTGGCAATCTTGAAGAAGTGCAACCTCAATATTGTGCCTTACTTCATGAGAAGTGCATCGATGCACGCAGCGGCAGCTGCACGCACGGCATCGACGGCGACAACAACTTCGCGATTCGAATCAGGGAAGCATGTAGTTAGAGTATAGACGAATGTTGGCTATTGTATATGTGTATTGAAAGGACCACGACTGACAGCATGACCTGACACAAGCGGACAAGCCGCAGGGTCTGTGCAGCACATGCCCCCAATTCATTTTATCACGTAGTAAGACCATAGTACCAGCAAAGCACAGCAACGGCTAGAGGTTGCCCAAGTCCACATACATCATAATTTCTCCCTGACAAAAGCTTCCCCACCAGATAAATCGAGGAGACTACACAAGCTAGCAATCTTTGCCAGCTTTTCAAATTGCCACGAACAAATCTATCAGATGAAAACAGGGTACCAGAAACAAAGATTTATTACCACAAATTGCCACGACACACTATTGCCACTAACAAATCTATCATATTTTGTACGCGAACCTGTCAGTAAGTAATTTTCAACATTCATTCTTTCTGTTGATCCCTTTTTTCCGATCATTACCACATTGATATGTGTGCACTGGGCAGGACGTCGGACGAACTGATTAGCACGAGAGAAGATGGAGGAGAGGAACAACACATCCCATATGCAAGACCGCGTCTCCCAGGCAACTTTACAGAAAACAGTACCCTGCCCTGTGGAGTAAAAAATAGAGGTACCTCACTGCACACTCTGCGGACAGGCTTATTTTGCGTCAGAAGTGCACCCCACGAGACCAACGTGGCCAAGGGTATTCGTATGTATCGGCCGATGTATGTTCACTTTCCCCATTTCAACGAATTTTAGTGCACGGATCACCTCGTCTGGACCACCGGTTGAATAGCTACGATCAGCTGCCGCTGCGTGCAGGAAGACCGCTCTCCTTACTTCATATGCATTTCACGAACAACTTTAGTCCAGTTCTTATAGATCAGTGATGACCCATCCTTCGCTTTCTTGATGTAGAATATATAAGTAGGACGAGGGAAGTTATTTGGTGTTGCCATAAAAATCTTCGTTGGCCAGCAAATGCTTTGAGATGTACTCAATGTGCTCTCTTGAAAAGCACTGATCAAAGAGAAAATTATACACTGCGTTATCCAAACATTCAATTTGCATAGTAAGATATGAGGTAATACATCAGTTTGTTTTGGCATAGGTTAAGAACTAGTCCCTCTGTAAACAAATATAAGACGCAACAAACGGGGAACCATAATTTCTATTTGGCGGAGGGAGTATCTTCAATGCGTTGTCCAACCATCAGTTTGTTTACAGAGGGAGTATCTTCAATCTGTTTGTGTAGCCACAATTTCTATATTTTTTTTGCGGGGAACCATAATTTCTATTTTTTTAGGGGAGCCATATTTTCTAGAAAAAAGTATGTTTTGGTCCCTCAAGTCCCACAAAAGTATAGGCTTGGTCTAAAGATTTTCTTTTTTATATATATTTGGTCCTTCAAGTCTCAAAATCAGATAAATTAGGTTCAAAACCAGATTTTAAGCACATTGACCGGGTTTAACCACGGTGACCCGATTCGGCTGATGAGCAATAAATTCAACAACAAAAAACTTTTTCAAATAAATTGAATTTTTGTGGTTTTATTGTTGATCCGTACATAGCATTTCATGATTGGGCTACTTCATCCACGAGAGGAAAAATATCTAGTGCTACCAAACTTGAGGTACTACCATGATACAAGCTTCTAGGCCGTTGGATTCTCGGATCGGACGGCTTATAGAGATTCTGCAACATTTGCAAAAAAACCTCCTAAAAGTTTAGAAATTGTGTATAGATCCAGCAGATCCAACCACTCCTAGATGCCGTCCATCTGAGAATCCGACGGCTCAGAAGTCCGTATCACGGTAGCATCTAAGGCTTGGCAGGAGCAGATATTCTCCCGTCCACGAGATCCATGAAAACTCAATCAAGAAAGAGAAACGGACTGCATTGTTCACACCATAGCCGGAGAAGCAAGTTCTCTCGCCGGTTAAGGCTACTCAGCAGACTCCGTGGACACGTCCGGCCGCGTCCCCATTCTTCCCATTCACCAGTCGGTTGAGCTTGAGTGAGAGCAAAGAAATGTGGCCGGCAGCTGGGATGAGCTGCTGGCGCCAGAAGCTGATTTGAAGCCGAAGGAGACGTAGAGATAGCATGGCGGAGGAGAGGAGAATTCCAATTCGAGCTTCCCGAGCGGAACAGCGGGGAGGCGGAGCACGCACGGCAGGGCCACACCTCACCGGCCTCGCTCACCGATTATGTCAGCCATGATCCTCCGTACTGATCGACGACTTGTTTAATCGCTCTCCGGAAAAGCCCATCCTCATCGCAAAAGAATACTACCACTAAATTCCAGCCGCATGCTCCGGCGATGCCGCGGCGGAAGCGAAAGGCAAGCGCGACTGCGATGGTGGCGCCACTACATTCCGATGCCCCATCCCCCTCGTGCCCCGGCTCCGAGCGGTGCTGCTACCACTACATAGCCACCGACCAGGAGCCGCGCCGCAGCGGGTCAAGAAAGCAGCGGCGATGGAGGCGGACGAGCTCCTGAAGAAGATACGGGCGCTGGAGGAGGGGCAGGCGGAGCTCAAGCGGGAGGTGGGCAGGCTCATGCCGGACCGCCGCGCCGCGGCCCGGCGCCGTGCCCTCCGCGCGCTGCCGCCGCCGCCGCGGCCCTCATCGTCGCGGCGCGTCGCGGCCCGCGGCAGGCTGCCCGACAGGCACTGCCACTGGATACTGCAGTCGCTGGGGCAGGCCGTGCACATCATCGCCCCCGACGGGAAGCTCCTGTACTGGTGAGGCTCCTCGGTTATATTGTTCACCAAGTGTTTGATGAAATGCTGACCAGGGCTATTCATAGTCTTTTCCCCCCTTTTTTCGCAAAGTGAAAACTTTTTGCAAAAACTGCTGCAAGGTGACAGAACCTGGCAATTTGCCTAGTGCAAAGTGCATTTAGCTCTTTATTTTTTATGGAAATACATAGTGTTCTTGATGCATGTAGTTAGTGTAGATCTCATTCTCTCGACCGGTCAAGTTGGCTAAAGAGGCATATCAGATTCTTTTTGCCATAGGCATTTCTACACACAATTGACTCTGCTTGGTTCTCTGAACACATGTCTTACCAAACTCTATGTTGTTTTTGTTCTGTGATCTAGGAACCGGTATGCTGAGCATATGTATGGCTATACTGCAGCAGAGGCAGTTGGTCGGAATGCCGTTGAATTAATTGTTCATCCGACTGACTTCGATTCAGCAAAAATCGTCATCCAGAATATATTTATGGGCAAGTGTTGGAGAGGGAAGTTTCCTGTTAAGAACAAAGCAGGAGAGAGGTTTTTCATTTCTGTCCACAACACCCCTTTGTACGATGACGATGGTAGTTTGGTGGGCCTTATCTGTCTCTCGCTTGATGTACGGGCATTAGAGGAGATATTTAGTCCCTCGGACTCAGCGGAATCCTATCCAAGTACAGCAAAGCACCGGTTTCATGCTAACAACCGGCCTACAAGTGGTTCAGTAAACAAAGGTTCTGTTCACTCCCAGCAACCTCCTCAATCTGGTGTCACCTCCAAGATAGTAACTTTGGTAAGTTGCATCGCTGTTTAATTTCAAATGGGGACTTACTCTTCTGGTACTTATTCTTCATTTATTTCTTAGTGTATTATTTTCTTGTTGGAATAACAATGCAGGCTACCAGCGTTACAAGTAGAGTTCATTCTCGGATAAGGACAGGTCAGAATGGCGACAAACAGTATGGTGGTGACTGTGAGGACCAGTATTCTCAACTTGATCTCCAGGCCGAGGTGGCATCAAGTGAAGAGAACACCCCAAGTGGGGATGTAATGCATGGTGCCTTTGTGGCCCAAGAGAAATCCCGTGGCAAGTCGAGCAAAACAAGTAGTGATGATCCAGGAGAAGGAAAAGTAGGGTCCTACAAGATTTTCCGTTCGAAGGCTGAGGCATTATTGGCAAAGAAGGGCATATCATGGCCTTGGAAAGGGCATGCAAATGATGGGGGTTCTGGAAAGAATAACGTGAACTCAACACAGTTGCAGGATAAGCAGGAGAATGACCAGAGTCAGCAGAGAGTTCCAGTTCTAGAGCCTATCATAATTCCAGACTGCCAAAACAGCGAAGACACTTGGGCTACGAAATATGAGGTCTCAGGTTCCTGGTGGGATTTCAACAAGAATTACACGAGTAGCATGAGCAGCAGTGGGAGTACTGATAGCAGCGGTATCGAGAGAGTAGACTATGAAGCAGACCGCCTAGATTATGAGATTCTCTGGGAAGACCTAGTAATTGGAGAACAAGTAGGTCAAGGTATTACTTCTCCCTTTGCAATTACTCCATTTGTAGGAACTCAGATCTCTTGTTAACATGCACTCCAAAAGATTTAGGAGTAGCCATAGCCATAGCTTGTAATTGTAAGAACTACTTAGGCTGTTTGTTCTTTGTCAGTAATTCCTCACTATGCATGCATCTTAATAGCTCACAAGCGTAGTAAAAATCAGTTCTTTTCAGTAAAATTCCTCGCTCTCCATGCTTCTTAATAAAATCTTGTGTATTATCCTCTTATCTTTGGCATAGTCCAAATCGGTTCTGTTTCTTCTAATCTTCAGGAGTCATAACAGTTCAGTCAATTTCATGATTTTACTATAGTCCTGGTGGCGTGGATGTCTATTCTGAGATTCTAAGTTGCAAGTGTTACATTTCCACAACAGTGATGGCAATGTTTGTTCGTAAGGTTATGCATGTACTGTACTTGTTTACTGCTGAAAGTCCATGTAGATAATCACACAGAATTGTCACTAATATCCCGATTCTTAGACTGCTGTATGCAATCTGGTATTGTCCTCCTTTTTAACAAACGTACTCATTTTTGTTATTTTCATATTTGGTGCATACAGGTTGTTGCGGAACAGTGTATCATGCTTTGTGGTATGGCTCGGTATGTCATTTCTGTCACATGATTATGAATGGAGCTTTACATCTTAACAATAAATCTTAAACCCTCAGTATCTATCAATGTTCCTGTAGGACGTGGCAGCTAAAGTATTCTCCAAGCAGGAATATTCAGAAGAAATGATCAATACCTTCAGACAAGAGGTGGACATCTATATCTACATACAATTTCTGTTGACCTTCAATTGCTCATGAATTTGGCTATAATGGCAATGAAAGCACGCGATATCTACTGTATTATTGAGACAGATACTCCATTATTGAAATAATTACCCATTTTCACTATTCTATGTTAATTTAACTATGTGGATAAATATGAAAAAATGATATGGCATTGACAAATTAATCTTCACTTTTGTTGATTTTGTGGGTCAATGAGCACTACATTGGTAACTTTCTAAATCATGTTCTGTGATTCCTTTTCCATAGTTTGTGGCCATGACCATATTTGTATCCTTCAAATGTGTAGGTATCATTGATGAAGAAGCTACGACATCCCAATATAATACTTTTCATGGGTGCAGTTGCTTCGCAGGAACGACTTTGTATTGTTACTGAATTTCTGCCACGGTATGCTGTATATCTTCCTACATGTTTTTTTATCGGTACTAGTAAAAACACTTCAAAGGATTGATGGGTGGCTCAACTGGTTCTGTAAGCAACCAACCATGTTTTATACTTGCCTCTTGTTGAAGAAGTTGGGAGTGCTAATACCCTGGTTCTTTTCGTTTGATACTAAAAAGTAAAAACACCTCTGACATACCATGCATTGATTTTGTACTAGGTAGAGTTGTTTTACTTGTTCTGTATAACACTTGACTGAGTCCCATAATGCAGCGGGAGTTTGTTTCGGTTGCTTCAGAGTAACATTGGCAAGCTGGATCCAAGACGGAGAGTTAACATGGCTATTGACATTGTGAGTGCATTTTCTCTTAACAGCTGGTTAAGGATTCAGGAAATTTCAAGCCAAATAAACTACATGGAACTTTTGAGAAATGAGCATGTTGTAGCAGAAGACCTGATAAATATTCTTCAATTGAAGATGTCAAGTATTGTTTTGAATAGATACAGAATTTACCTTTGCAAACTGCCCAAAAGCGAAGTTGAACTGCATGTCAGCTAAGCCATATCTGTAGCTGCAGTGTATGGAAGAATGAAACAAGAAAATAGGTGATATCATGTACTTGCCATCTAACATGGTATCTTGTGCTATATAACATATTATTTTTCTACGATCATAACTGAAGATTATATTGCCAAAATTCAATGTTGATTCATGTGATTATGATGTGCAACATGCCGACATTGTTACCTAAACCGTCCAACATGCGTGTTCATGTTTGGGCTCTTAACTTGTGGAGATAGAAGTTACTTGATATTTTCTTTGCCAAGTACTTATTTTTCCATGTGAATTCTTAGAAGAATAATTTAATATTGTTGCAGGCAAGGGGCATGAATTATCTTCACAGTTCCATCCCAACTGTTGTGCACCGTGATTTGAAATCACCAAACCTGTTGGTTGATAAGAATTGGACTGTAAAGGTAATTATGAAACTTTATTCTCCATGCTTTATGTTGCCTCTTCTCATTTGGTTCTATTAGGTTGCAGACTTTGGTCTTTCACGTCTGAAACACGAAACATTTCTGTCAACAAAAACTGGAAAGGGAACAGTAAGTACAAGCAAACTTAACCTTTTGACATGGACTCTCCAGACTGACAGGATTGTCATAAACTTTAATCTAAGTACCTGATAACTTGGTTTCCACATCCAGCCGCAGTGGATGGCTCCGGAGGTGCTACGGAGTGAACCTTCAAATGAAAAGTAAGCTCAATCTGGAGATTCTTGAACAACAGATGTTCTTGTTACCTACGGATGTTTACTGATTTCTTCCTTTTTTATTAAGTATAGGTCTGATGTATTCAGCTATGGAGTGGTCCTGTGGGAGCTTGCTACTCAGATGATCCCCTGGGATACTCTCAATACAATGCAGGTACATGGGGATGACTTTTCTACATACACTCCATTTTTGTGGTTTCTTAGAGCCAAAAAAAGATTCTTGGAAAATACTAGTAGCTTACTGGTGAATGGTGAATCTTTTCCAAGTGTAATCACCGTCATTGCAGTTTAAGAAAGCCTAGTTTCTTTTTTGCTTCTTCTTTTTGACGTAACAGCACAAGCATTGCCATTAATGCCAAATCCCTAACGGTGGCCCCCTGTGTTGCAGGTCATCGGAGCCGTGGGTTTCATGGATCACAGACTGGAAATACCAAGCGACGTGGATCCTCAGTGGGCATCGATGATTGAGAGCTGTTGGGAAAGGTATATATACATCACCATTTTGCAGGCTAGTGAAGGAGTACCAAATAGCCAATTTCCGATCCCACTAAATCAACTATCCCCTCTGTGCAGTGAACCGCAATGCCGCCCTTCGTTCCAAGAACTTCTCGAGAGGCTCCAGGGGCTGCAGAAGCAGTACACGGTTCAGGCGCAGACGGAGCGGAAAGCGGCTGGGAAAGGTGCTCGAAAGACAAGCGTCAAAGATGATGGCTGAGGTAGCTTAATGTTCTGATGGAGGATTATGGAGCTGCCATCTTGGGGAACAGTTTTTTGATACTTCTAAAGAGGACTACCAGTACCAGAGAGGTGGTACATGGCTTCTCAAGTTGCAACCTTGATGCTTTGGAGTGCTGTTTGCCTCTAGAGGACACTGGTGGCATGACATGAGACTGCCAGTCGTTTCAAGGTTAGTCCGGATTTTCACAACCTGGGCACATCTGACCATGATACGTGTTTAGATACGATTGGTCTAACAGCTAGTTGTGCCTGTACCGCCGAAATGTGTCATGGCATAAACAACACTTTCCACATCGGACATGGCTTTTCAGTTACTTTTAATTTTAATTTTCCATTTTACGTTTACTTTTTATTTTCGCGATTTATAGTATTTTTAATTTTATTTTAATGTTTTCATTTTCTTGTTACTTGTGGTTTATTTTTATTTTTTTCATTTAAAAAATACACATACCCTTTCTACAAAATTATGAATATTATTTAGGTTCACATGAACATTTAAAAAATGCACACTTTTTTATTACATAAACGGTTCTGAAATACATGATAACCAATTTTAATACATGATAAGTATTTTTAATTACTTTATGAATTGGTTTTAAGCACGAGATGAACATTTTCTAAATACACGATGAATGATTATTTAATGCGTGATGGATATATCTTCTTAATGCATAATGAAGTATTTTGGAAAAATCAATTGATTTTTAATACACATCATACATTTTTTAAATAAATGAAGAACATTTTATTAATACACAATGAAATAATTTGGAAAGCATGTCAACCTTTTTTAATACGTAACAAACATTTTCCAATACGTGATGAACATTTTTTATTCACATGAACCTTTGGGAAAATACAAGGAATAGTTTTAATAGGCAATACACTTTTTTAATATGTGATGAACATGGTTTTAATTTACAATGGACCTTTTCATAGTACACGAAAAACTTCTCAATATAGGATGAACCTTTTTTAAGTACTTTGTACATTTTATTAGTACGTGATGGTTTTTTAATGCATGATGAATTTTTCTTTAAAATGTTCGTCTTTTCTATAAATATTAATGTATTTTAAGAAAGTTTTCACACGTTTTACAGGAAATGATCGTGTATTCATTTAAAAACTATATAAATATTGAAAAAAAAAGAAATGAAAAAATGGAATACAGAAAATAAAATTAGAAAGAAAAAAGGAAAAGAAACCCATAAAAAGAAATGGAAAAGGAAATATAAAATGTTAGGAAAAAGCCAAAACAAACCAAGGCTTGCGAGACCCAATGAAAACTGCAGGAGCCACCCAAACACAAATCGCGCGTAAACCACCAAACCTTCTTACTGGGCTACGACCCTGTTTGGTGCATGGGCGGGATATAGCATATGCGGCTAAACTATGGACTACACCTATAAAAACGGCTAAATTATGGACTAAATTTATAGAAGAAACGTACGTAACATAATTATAAGATGACAAGATCATGTTGGAGCGGAAGGAGGCCAACCTTAATACTCAGAGGATTATTGAGGAGTTAGTGGAGGGAGGAACCTATAGGATGGGTCAGTAAGGGCGTGTTTGAATGCCTGCACGCTCCCTATGTACCCTAAAAATAAAATCAGTTGCTTGGTTACCCACGCATTTGGATGGGCTTGCATGGCACAAAGCTCAAAGCGGCCTTGAGTCTGACTCATGAGGAACGGTTGACTTGTTAGATTACATAGCAATTCAAGTTCTCACTTGTCTACAATCAGCACTCAGTTACTTAGCTACATATGTGATATGAAAGCATACACAACTGATGTGATGAAACACATCAGTACAACAAATTGCATCACATTCCTCTTCTTCTGCACTTGTAAATCGACGGTCTTCTCTAGCAGTAGTTCATGGCTTGAACTGGCCGGGGTTACCATCGGCTTGAAAGCATACATGGGATTGATGTTGAAGAAGAAGACCCACAGGAATGGCTTGAACTGGCCGAGGTTGCCACCGGCTTGAACTTGCTCCAAAATTTACCATCACCGTCACTTGTTCATGGGTCAAGGGTGTAGCCTAGCCAGCCATCGCCCCGTCTAGGTCGCCACCACGGCCGTAGCACACCTCGGTGCCCAGCCGCCGCCGCCCAGGATTGACCTTGGTCAATGTCGCAACCCTCATGCCCTGTCAGCCACCGCCGCAGCGGTCGTGCTCAGGTAGCAATTGTCGCGCCTCAATCACCAGCAGGCCATGTCGCCACCGTCGCCGATTCCGGATTCGTCGGTGTGTGTGTGTGT